TTTTGAACATTACAGTCAAAATGATTAGGGTCATCTACTGTCCCACCAAGTTTCAAAAACATAATTTTACAAACATACGATAATTCCATGTTAAGTTATAGAGCACACAAAGATTTCCAATAATTGTCACTGTGACCTTGACCTTTAACCTAATGACCTCATTATGAAAATGGGTCATCTACTGCCCATGACCTTCCCCCTATTAAGTTTGAAGGCAAGCCAGATAGTTACCAAGTTATTGAGAGGATATTAATATGGCTACCACACCAGGTACGTATATTAACAGGTACGTATATTAACAGGTACGTATATTAATAATATACGTACCTGACCACACTAACATGTAAATTGTCCATTTATTTTGTTACATTCTTTAGTTTTAGGGGGTCATTGATTTTTCTTCAGTTACTGGATAAAGTCTTGTGTTCTCCAACATACATGTAAGTCTACATAAACTAAAGTGACAAATTGGGTGGGTTCAATATTGACAAGTTGATGTTACATACAAAATATCATAACTTTGATAATTGTAGTTTTAGATGAGATTTTTTAACACATTTACTATAAAAGTCTATGTTAACTAAATGACACCCAAAAAGACGCCATTTTTACCAAAGGAGCATGATTTATATACATTTTGTAGATGTTAACTAGAATGTCACATTCCAATTAACTAAACTCTGGTCATTGTAGTTTCATGTAAGACTGAAATTGGTTTTCCGTAGGTATATTTTACAGGGTGTCAACTATCTCATGACATAACACAGGGAAAAAGAGAAAATTTCTAAATTTCTCAATCTACCGACTTATTCTTGACTGAATTCATATATTATTCCTGGTTATTGTTTTAACACTTTGCACGCAAGGCTCTGACATCTGTTGGCCTTTCCTATAGTGAACCTTTACAACCCTACTTTACTAGCTATAATTGCATTATTCTATGTACATATAATACATTCTTTAATTTCTTGTACATACGTATATGTACATTCAAAAGTTAATGATACTCTTGAATGAGCGCTTGAAATTAACGACATGTCATAAAACAGGAAAATATGTTGACCTCCCCTACAGTCAACACTTGTCATATTTTTTTATTATCAGTTGTACTTGTATGACTTTGTTTTATTTCCTTGATTAAATAGTTTTCTGTTTTACCTTTTTCACTAATAGTTAAAGAATAGGTAATACAACCACCACCATGCTCAATTCATATTGCATTTAGTGGTATTGTGCAACAAGAGGGCCATGATGGCCCTGAAGTCACTCACCTGTATATAGGCCCCTGGAGCAGGGCCAGTTTAAACCCGAGGGCTTTTATTTGAACAAACTTTGTAGACACCCATTAGAAGATGTTTCATGCTAAACATCTAAGGTCTAGCTCGTTGGGTTTTTTAAAGAAGATTTTTCAAGTTTTTTCTTTACACATATAGATAAAAACAATGACACACCTAGGGCAGGGCCAGTTTTGACCCCAGGGCTTTTATTTAAACAATCTTTGTAGACACTTACTAGAAAATGTTTCATGCTTAATATCTAAACTCTAGCTATTTGGGTTATTTCAAAGAAGATTTTTAAGTTTTTGCTATTTACATATAAGGAAAATTAATGTCCTCGGGACGGGGCCAATTTTGACCTCAGGGCTTTTATTTGAACAAACTTGGTAGACATTCACTAGAAGATGCTTCGTGCTTAATATCTAAACTCTAGCTATTTGAGTTTTTTCAAAGAAGATTTTTTAAGTTTTTGTTATACACATATAAGGAAAATGAATGGGGCCAATTTTGACCCCAGGGCTTTTATTTGAACAAACTTGGTAGACACTCACTAGAATATGTTTCATGCTTTGTATCTAAACTGTAGCTATTTGGTTTTTTTTTCAAAAAAGTTTTTTAAGTTTTTGCTATACACATATAAGGAAAATCAATGACCCCCGGGGCAGGGCCAATTTTGACCCCAGGGCTCATATTTGAACAAACTTGGTAGACATACATTAGAACATGTTTCATGCTAAATATCTTAGCTCTAGCTCTTTTGGTTCTTTAAAAGAAGATTTTTTAAGTTTTTACTATATGCATATAGGGAAAATCAATGACCCCCTGGGGCGGGGCCAATTTTGACCCCTGGGCTTTTATTTGAACAAACTTGGTAGACACCCATTAGAAGATGTTTCATGCTAAATTTTTAAGCTTTAATTCTTTGGGTTCTGTAAAAGAAGATTTTTTTAAGTTTTTACTATATGCATATAGAGAAAATCAATGACCCCCTGGGGCGGGGCCAATTTTGACCCCAGGGCTTTTATTTGAACAAACTTGGTAGACACTCACTAGAAGATGTTTCATGCCAAATATCTTAGCTCTAGCTCTTTGGGTTCTTTAAAAGAAGATTTTTTAAGTTTTTACTATATGCATATTGGGAAAATCAATGACCCCCTGGGGCGGGGCCAATTTTGACCCCAGGGCTTTTATTTGAACAAACATGGTAGACACTCACTAGAAGATGTTTCATGCCAAATATCTTAGCTCTAGCTCTTTGGGTTCTTTAAAAGAAGATTGTTTAAGTTTTTACTATATGCATATAGGGAAAATCAATGACCCCCTGGGGCGGGGCCAATTTTGACCCCAGGGCTTTTATTTGAACAAACTTGGTAGACACTCACTAGAAGATGTTTCATGCCAAATATCTAAGCTCTAGCTCTTTGGGTTTTTTAAAAGAAGATATTTAAAGTTTTTTCTTTCGGTTGCCATGGCAACCAGAGTTCTGCATGGAATTAAATTCTTTGAACAATTTTTAAAGGTGACCACCAAAGGAACATTCCTGTGAAGTTTGGATGAAATTGGCTTAGTGGTTTATGAGGAGATGTCATTTAAAGCAAAAGTTTATGGACAGACAGACGGACGGACGGACTCCGGACGAAAAGCGATCACAAAAGCTCACACTTTGTGACAGGTGAGCTAAAAATAGTTATCTACGGTATGGTACAAATGCAGATGCACAAACTTTTCAAAAATACAAAACCCAGGATTGATAAAAGTCTTTTCAGTAAGAGCCGAAGCACAACAGAGCATATAATTAATACTGTCCCTGGTCATCTTTTTTCCCTGACAGGTTTATTTAAACTAAGTAACCTAAATTTAACAAACCAAAGTAACCTGCAAGGCAGGGTCTATTTTGACACCAGGGGCATGATTTGTCCACAGTGCGATGCTATTTGTCAAATATTTAGCACTAGGCATTTTTTAAAGATGTCGTGTAAGTCTAGCTTCTGTGACCTACATGTGCATCAGACTAGAACCATTCAGATAACTTTTGTGTTCTAACTTTTGCCTGTGAAAGTTGGTCAAAATATAGCACATGGTTTTAAAAGAGATTATAGATAGACACAAAGCATAAATCATGAGATCAGAAAAAGCTCAACTCCAAGTACTCTGTGACTTTAAACTCAGGTGAGCTATATCAAGACTGTATAAGATATGGTTTCTGACAAAAAGATTTCTATGATTTTTACTATTCAAATCAGTGTATGTATCTTTAATGTAAAGATTACTGTTCAAATCTATGAAACAAGAGGGCCATGATGGCCCTGAGGTCGCTCAACTGTATTAAGGCCCCCGGAGCGGGTCCAGTTTAAACCCCAGGGCTTTTATTTGAACAAACTTGAAAGACACTCATTAGAAGATGTTTCACGATGTTAAGTTTTTACTACACACATAATGAAAAACAATGATCTCCCCACCCCCTCCAACAGGGCCAACTTTCATCCGAGGGCTTTTATTTGAACAAACTTGGTAGACACCCATTAGAAGATGTTTCATGCTAAACATCTAAGCTCTAGCTCATTGGGTGTTGTAAAAGAAGTTATTTAAAGTTTTTACTATACACATATAGTTAAAAACAATGACACCCCTGGGGGCCAGTTTTGACCCCAGGGCTTTTATTTGAACAAACTTTGTAAACACTTACTAGAAGATGTTTCATGCTGAATATCTAAACTCTAGCTATTTGGGTTTTTTCAAAGAAGATTTTTGAGTTTTTGCTATACACATATAAGGAAAATCAATGACCCCAGGGGCAGAGCCAATTTTGACCCCAGGGCTTTTATTTGAACAAACTTTGTAGACACTCACTAGAACATGTTCCATGCTAAATATCTAAACTCTAGCTATTTGGGTTTTTTTCAAAGAAGATTTTTTAAGTTTTTGCTATACACATATAAGGAAAATCAATGACCCCCATGGGGCGGGGCCAATTTTGACCCAAGGGCTTTTATTTGAACAAACTTGGTAGACACCCATTAGAACATGTTTCATGCTAAATATCTTAGCTCTAGCTCTTTGAGTTCTGTAAAAGAAGATTTTTTAAGTGTTTACTATATGCATATAGGGAAAATCAATGACCCCATGGGGCGGTGCCAATTTTGACCCCAGGGCTTTTATTTGAACAAACTTGGTAGACACTCATTAGAAGATGTTTCATGCTGAATATCTTAGCTCTAGCTCTTTGGGTTCTTTAAAAGAAGATTTTTTAAGTTTTTTCTTTATGCATATAGGGAAAATCAATGACCACCTGGGGCGGGCCAATTTTGACTCCAGGGATTTTATTTGAACAAACTTGGTAGATACTCACTAGAAGATGTTTCATGCAAAATATCTAAGTTCTAGCTCTTAGGGTTTTTTAAAAGAAGATATTTAAAGTTTTTTCTTTCGGTTGCCATGGCAACCAGAGTTCTGCATGGAATTAAATTCTTTGAACAATTTTTAAAGGTCACCAACAGAGGGACATTCCTGTGAAGTTTGGATGAAATTAGCTTAGTGTTTTATGAGGAGATGTCATTTAAAGTAAAAGATACGGACGGACGTCAAACGGACGTCAGACGAAAAGCGATCACAAAAGCTCACCCTGTCACTTTGTGACAGGTGAGCTAAAAAGGGACTATCACTGAGGGCAGGCCATTTTTAACTAATTATATTCACTCATCACTCATCAAATGTAAAAAGGTATCATAAAAAACAATTTATTGATTTATAAACAAACAAAAGAAAACATTTTGATTAATAATAAAAAACATCTTATATTTTAAAATAAGACATACATCAATTAATTATTCACAAAGAGAAATAATTCACAACAACGCCCTTTATAATGCAGCACTTATAATGCACAGAGTTTGGTTATGAATAAATAGTTCATTGATAATATCAAAGTCCAACTAAGCAGCCTGTTCTTCATCAGACACTTCTTCATCATCAACCTGTAAACAAAGAACAAAAATTCTGAGACCAAAATGAAACTTCAAGTATAGATGAAAAAAAGCTAGAAATCAATACTTAAACAAGAGGGCCATGATGGCCCTGAGGTCACTCACCTGTATATAGGCCCCCCAACCCCCACCCACCAACGTTGCAGGGCCAACTTTGTAGACACCCATAAGAACATGTTCCATGCTAAACATCTAAGCTCTAGCTCATTGGGCTTTTTAAAAGAAGATTTTTTTTAAGATTTTACTATACACATATAGTTAAAAACAATGACACCCCTGGCCAGGGCTTTTATTTGAACAAACTTTGTAGACACTTACTAGAAGATGTTTCATGCTTAATATCTAAACTCTAGCTCATTGGGCTTTTTCAAAGAAGATTTTAAGTTTTTGCTATACACATATAAAGAAAATCAATGACCCCCGGGGCGGGGCCAATTTTGACCCCAGGTCTTTTATTTGAACAAACTTTGTAGACACTCACTAAAAGATGTTTCATGCTTAATATCTTAACTCTAGCTATTTGGGTTTTTTCAAAGAAGATTTTTTAAGTTTTTGCTATACACATATAAGGAAAATCAATGACCCCATGGGGTGGTGCCAATTTTGACCCCAGGGCTTTTATTTGAACAAACTTGGTAGACACCTATAAGAACATGTTTGATGCTAAATATCTTAGCCATAGCTCTTTGAGTTCTTTAAAAGAAGATTCTTTAAGTTTTTACTATATGCATATAGGGAAAATCAATGACCCCCGTGGCGGGGCCAATTTTGACCCCAGGGCTTTTATTACTATATGCATATAGGGAAAATCAATGACCCCCTGGGGCGGGGCCAATTTTGACCCCAGGGCTTTTATTTGAACAAACTTGGTAGACACCTATTAGAACATGTTTGATGCTCAATATCTTAGCCATAGCTCTTTGAGTTCTTTAAAAGAAGATATTTTAAGTTTTTACTATATGCATATAGGGAAAATCAATGACCCCCCGGGGCGGGGCCAATTTTGACCCCAGGGCTTTTATTTGAACAAACTTGGTAGACACCCATTAGAACATATTTCATGCTAAATATCTTAGCTCTAGCTCTTTGGGTTCTTTAAAAGAAGATTGTTTAAGTTTTTACTATATGCATATAGGGAAAATCAATGACCCCCCGGGGCAGGGCCAATTTTGACCCCAGGGCTTTTATTTGAACAAACTTGGTAGACACTCACTAGAAGATGTTTCATGCCAAATATCTAAGCTCTAGCTCTTATGTTTTTTTAAAAGGAGATATTTAAAGTTTTTTCTTTCAGTTGCCATGGCAACCAGAGTTCTGCATGGAATTAAATTCTTTGAACAATTTTTAAAGGTGACCACCAAAGGAACATTCCTGTGAAGTTTGGATGAAATTGGCTTAGTGGTTTATGAGGAGATGTCATTTAAAGTAAAAGTTTACGGACGGACGCCGGACGGACGCCGGACGAAAAGCGATCACAAAAGCTCACCCTGTCACTTTGTGTCAGGTGAGCTAATAATGGCATTAATCTGTTGTTTGTTAGGTTATAAGCAGTAGTTCCAATTAAATATGAAACTATTTTTATTCTTTGTTAACTTTATCGTATTGCAGCTATACCAAAAATGTTTGCGCAGAGAGACAGACGTGCATGTGCTCATCTCAACAGCCCATCTTGTACAATCTGATAAACCAACAGTATCATTAAGTGAACACTTAAATACACAGTGAAAATATTTCTTGTCTTTAGTATCTAATTTCAGGTCAATAGGTTGATTATAAACCGTTTATTTTACATAATTTGGGTATATAAAAGTTCAGCTAATCATATTGTTAAGTTTTCTTTTAGAGGTAAACACAACAAAATGAAAAGTTGTATTAAGTATGAAACATTATGCCCTATGGTTGTAGTCCTGGAATGATTACCATAATCTGGAATAAATAGAAACTGTTAGTACCATTCCTCAAGTATCGTCAGTTGATTTTTCTCCCAACTTTTTTTCAAGCTTTTCAAATTCACTGTTGATAACTTCATCAGATTCATCTTCCACCTAAGGTAGAAAACAATAATGGTTAGTAGTCCTTTATATATCATGTCTATCAATAACATGAGGTTAATATACAAGTTATAACAGAGAACAGATGGAAGGTGATAATTCACCTGTAAAATGAATAATGGTCCAAGGGCTTGTTTTGATCACATCATATTTGACATCACATTTGACAGTTTTAGTGTTTGCTTATGTTCAACGGACTGATTATGATTATGACTTTTTGGCCCGGACTGTACACTCATAACTGGTCATGTGACACTCCCTAGGTTCAATCTCAGATCCCAGGTATTTGATTGGTCAGAATCTTCCACATAATGTACACTGACCAATGAAAGTCCTGAGATTTGAGATAGAAACCAGAAAAAAAATTTTATAACCTCAAGGCCTGGACAATACAATTCTGATGTTTATTTATTGGAAGCTTAATTATGTCCCCACACATACTTTAACACATGATCTCATTATAGAAATTATAACACCTCATAACTGACAATCTAATTAACACAGTATACAATAATTACCTGTATAACCTCTGTTACATCAGGTATATAAAACTGAAGCATATTCTGTACACCATTTTTCAGGGTAACTGTTGAACTAGGACAACCTGTACATGAACCCTGCATTTTTAATTTCACCACTCCATCTTCATACCCCTACAAACAGAAACAATCATCATTAAAAAATCAAATCAACAGAAAATAACTGGATTGTTTCTATATCTTATAATTCTTAAGGGAAAGACAGTTGCTACTGATTCTAGAAGTTGTTGTTCAATCCTTTTTCCCTTTGTTAAAATTGTTGTTATGTGAAAATAATGTTCTTAAATTGTATTCAAAGAGCAATTAAACATTATTAAAGTAATTGGAAGATACCCATTCCATATACATGTACATCATTTACCATAAACTAAGCCATATAGTGCCAACTTTGTCATTTAACTGAATGTAGTTAAAGAACAATATTATGTGATGCTCTCTGAAGCCATACTGGAACCATGCTAAATTCTGCATTAAATTTGTCCAGTTTAAAATTTGATACTGCCCTTTGTTTATGTGACTTATTCTGATTAAAAAATACAAGACCTTTACAGCCGGCTGATCAGAATGTTTATAATTCAAAACATTTCGGTTTGATTTTAAATGTTGTTTTGTTTTCATTTTAATATGAAGTGCACAAATGCTCATTCCCCTGTTTTTATCATGACAGAACATAATTCTTCTGTAAATTCTATTCCTTTATAATATGCTTTTCTTTCCCATTCAAATAAAGTAAATCTACAGTGAAATCATATTGTGATTATATTTGTATTTTTGTGAAATTTTATTAAGAATATCATTATAATAGTCCGTCAGATATTTTAGTAATCCTGTGGAAAACATGTTTTTAAAAGTATACAGTTCTCCAGCAACAGTTCCAAATATCATACCTGATACCTCAGGGCAACAGTTTGACTGTTTCACAAACACCCAAGAAATAACTGTTTTATTACCTAATTCTTTGCAATCTAACTACATGTATGATATATATTGCAACCATATACTATAATTACATGTTTACAACTGATTTGTTTACAACTGAATCCTACAGATGATTTTCAGAAAAACTAGTACCATTCATTGAGTGATGTTCGATTACTGATTAGTGACTAGTGACGGACAGCATTAATGGAAATATCCATTGACAATGGTGAAACAGTTAAAAAATGTTGACTGATCAACAGTTCATTTCATCACAGTGGATGCACAGGATTTCAGCGGTTCAATTAAGGTATTAGTATTTATAAAAGCCAGTAGGTAATAAAAATACTTGTTTACCATGAATATAATATCGCCGCCATCTTCTTGTACTGTAGGTCTTATCCTTGTATCTAACAGTTCTTTTATCATTGACACCGTCTCATCATCTTCATCACATGCCACTATAGAAAATATAACACTCATTGTATACCAGATACTGACCACAAGGTTATAGAACTATTTTCTGAGTTCTGTCTCAAATATCAGGATTTTCATTGGTCAGTGAACATTCTGTGGCAGTTTCTGACCAATTAAATAACTGAAATCTGAGTTTGAGCCTAGATAATTAAATTATAACCTCGAACCCTAGACAACACAATACATTAAAAGAAAATTACAAAATTGCTATACCTGATCATCTAATAAAAATGAAACAAACTTTTATGTGGCATTACTTGGTTATATAGTACTTTCCACATAATAACTTAGACTTATCTTTCGAATGCTGACAAAAATGATTATCATTTCATAAATTTTACAGAGAAAAAAATTAGGGAATGACACTTTGACAAAGCTATCTAAATGGTCAAGAAAACATGCAAAATTTATTTTTAACTGAAATGTCCAACAGCCAACTGACCTGAAAACACCACACAAAGGAAAAGACTCTCTAAGAACAAATACATTTTCTTTTCTAAAATCATAAGTTAATAAATAAAGGTGTTGTGACATGATAAATAAATATGATGAATGAACAGATGGACACACACAAATAAGCAACTATATATGACCTCCTGCATCAACTGTTAAGTTTCTGCACAGAAAATAAGTCATGAAACAAAAGCCAGATTTCAATCTAATCCTGTATTTCAAGGTAAGATTTCTATTGGTTTATAAAGAATTTTATTCTAGTTTGATTATGTAAAGGTAATTAAGTTAAGATTTTTTATTGTTACATGTATCTGGTGATGGTGCTGCATTCTCATCTAGTACAGGAAGTCCTGAGGCGAAGAAATCCATCACTGTTCCAAAAACATCCGGCTTTATCACAGACCAATCCATATCATCATCTACCTATATACAATAACAATCCATATCATCATCTATCTATATACAATAACAATCCATCTCATCATCTACCTATATACAATAACAATCCATATCATCATCTACCTATACACAATAACAATCCATATCATCATCTACCTATATACAATAACAATCCATATCATCATCTACCTATATACAATAACAATCCATACCATCATCTACCTATATACAATAACAATCCATATCATCATCTACCTATATACAATAACAATCCATATCATCATCTACCTATATACAATAACAATCCATATCATCATCTATCTATATACAATAACAATCCATATCATCATCTACCTATATACAATAACAATCCATATCATCATCTACCTATATACAATAACAATCCATATCATCATCTACCTATATACAATAACAATCCATATCATCATCTACCTATATACAATAACAATCCATATCATCATCTACCTATATACAGTAACAATCCATATCATCATCTACCTATATACAATAACAATCCATATCATCATCTATCTATATACAATAACAATCCATATCATCATCTATCTATATACAATAACAATCCATATCATCATCTACCTATATACAATAACAATCCATATCATCATCTACCTATATACAATAACAATCCATATCATCATCTACCTATATACAATAACAATCCATATCATCATCTACCTATATACAATAACAATCCATATCATCATCTACCTATATACAATAACAATCCATATCATCATCTACCTATATACAATAACAATCCATATCATCAACTACCTATATATAATAACAATCCATATCATCATCTACCTATATACCATACAAACAATGTTACTATCTGTTTATATACAAATCTGTGTGACACTAAATATACTGAGCAATATATTGATTTTGAAGAAGTTTGGAAGCATATGCTGATTACAAATTCATACAAGTGGACTCCCCCACTTTCAGCAGGAGACTCCCTCTTTCTGCAGCCATATTTTCAAAGATTTTTCTTAAAATAAGGGGTATTTTCACAAATTAAAGAAATTTACCCCTCTTTGATGTCAGAACTTTCTTCTCTGCTTATTCAACTTTATTGAAAAATGAAAATTCTAAAATCTCCCTCTTTTTAAAGAAAAATCTCGCTTTTTTATAAAGAAAAATCTCGTTTTTTTTTTAAAGAAAAATCTCCCTCTTGATAATCAAAAAAAGTTCACATGTATGCAAATTATTATTTGAGACATTATACAAAAGAGGGTATTTATTAAGCACCTGTGATTCAAGCCGACAGTTACTTGCAGAAGATATTCAAATCTAAACCCAGGAGCATTATAAAGGTTAACTGCTCTAGATACCAAAAACTTTAACTAGTTGCCTTAGCAATTTATTATTCCTTCTAGTGCTATGAATGCTAGGAAACCATGTGAGATAGAAAATATAATACATGTATTCATATTGTTTCCATATACTTATGTAGAAACAAATGGAAGTTTTTAAAAAAAACAAATTACCTTGGTAATAGTTATAAAGTCAAGTCCAAAGAAAACAGCCTTTACACCTTGAATACGAAACAACTGCCTGAAAAGAAATAAGTGGTGGGTAGGTATGTTATTTATATAGTTTAAAAATAAAAGATACGGTAAACATACAAATAAAACATATTTGCTTACTTGAACTTTGCAAATTTCATTTCGATTAAAAAAAAGATTTTCTGGTAATTATGAAATAACAGCTACACAAAAATGTGCATAAATCACCTGCAACATATGAACCCATTGACAGAATTGAACCAGTGGCAGGCTGGTAGCACTATCCTTTGTATAAATTATTGTGGTCATAATTCATTCATTTCTAGTCAAACATTATTGCAGTGTACATGATACTAGAACAACTCTACAAATAATGAATCTATCAAATAACTCAAACTATAAATAAACACAGTGAAATTTCTCTGTTTAAAAAAAATCATAACCTCAATACATGTATATATCACTCACTTTGCTAGTGGAGAACAAAATGCTGCCTGACCATTTGGGAAATCTTTAGTACCAGACTCTAAAACCGTTACTCCAGGAATAAACTTCAAGCAGTTTGGATTTGGTGTGTCTTGTGTTTGTATAAACATGCTCCTTGCTAAAATAATAATAAATGAATGCTTAAAATATACACATATTTGGTATTTGCATAACATCTTAGACTAATTCTTTCATATTGCACAGAAAAAAAGGACTAATAAAATGCTACCAGTATCAGTACCAGTATCTAAAATCCAAATACACTAATCTTAAAGATATTTCATTTAAACTGATGAAAAACTTTATCTTTCGATAAATATGAAGTTCTAGACAATTAAAACCATACAATGTTGAATCAGAGGTGACTTGACAGTTAAAAACTTACCATGTTGAATCAGGGGTGACTTGACAGTTAAAAACTTACCATGTTGTACCAAAGGTGACTTGACAGTAACAAACTTATTGTGTTGTACCAGAGGTGACTTGACAGTTAAAAACTTACCATGTTGTATCAGAGGTGGCTTGACAGTTACAAACTTACCATGTTGTACCAGGGGTGACTTGACAGTACAAACTCACCATGATGAATCTGGGGTGACTTGACAGTTAAAAACTCACCATGTTGTACCAGAGGTGTCTTGACAGTTAAAAACTTACCATGTTGTATCAGAGGTGACTTGACTGTTGAAAGCAACTTTCTGTGTTTGTCCCTGGACTGATTTTCAGTAATACTTGTAGAATGCTGTCTGCATGATTTACATATGTCTGATAGTCTTGAAACTGTTGACCTTTCACTGAAAACATACATTAAAATCATATATTAAAATTTGTTACCATCATACAATATTTAAACGTTACAAATTATTTCAAGCAAGCATCATTTCAAATTCATTAAACAGATTATTTAATTAAATGTATTGCAGGCACCTTCTATCAATAAGATCTCAAACAGAAGCCTTACCACGACAATATACTTAAGTCCCATGTTGACAGAGATGTACAAGTTTTTTTACTGATCTGACAACACATGCATGTATGTTTTTAAGAAAACAAATTAAAAATACCTCAAAGTAATTGTTGAACATTTTCTGAACTAAATTTTTAAGAATGTTATAAATCTTCCCACAGTTTAAACTTAAGATATTTTCTTTGTTTATAACCTCTTTAAGGGGTATTTTTCTGTGTATAAGCCAAAAAATACTATTAAGAAATGCTATGAATGAAATGTTCATTTGCACCAGTTCAGTCCTTAACCCTACGATAATCTGAGAAAACAGATAATATGTAATTTCTGACCCAATTTCTGCCCTCATAACTAACGGTCATTCTCAATGTAGAACAAAATGGAATTTCCATGAATTTGTGTGACAAGTTGAATATTGATGTGTTACAATTCATTTTAAGTTGAGTAAACATATCAAAATATAGTTTTAAAGTAACTACAATATTTGTTTTGGAACTAATCACATGCCAGTACAATATGGTTTTATTCCCTCTTTAAAATTTCTCTCATAATTTTATTTTCAGAGACAGAATGTAAATCAATGAGCCACAAAATTTACTAGTTTGCACATCTCCTGTTGGTAGCAAAGCTACCTTTAAAGTTTAATTAATGAATAAGAGGTTCATGTACCTTATTGTTGGTCAAATTGAAACCCTGGGCAAAAAGATAAAATTCTATTTAATAAGACATTGAACTGTTGAAGTTATAGTCCAATATATCAGACATTACAGGCTTGTTACAGTTTATGTCGGCCAAGCCTGATGTCTAATTGTAATTGCTCATAAACGCATAGCATCATAAATAACTAAAAAAATGTCTATTGTCTTGCCTTTTAAACTGTATTCAAAAGATTATCTTCTTTTCTTTCAATTTCATGCTCAATCATAAACAAAGTCTCTCAAACAATGTACATATCAATTCAAAATAAAATATAAACATCAATCTATTTTTGTCTAACGGCCATACTGGTTAAGTTAGGTGCTTTACAGATTGATTCCAAATTTTTGAACGAAAAAATAAATTCAAACACGCTGATGATGCATGGCAATTAATTCAGTAAAAAATATTCTGTTAGAATCTTCTGACTCAGTTAAACGCTTGCATTTGAATTAGCCAATCAAATTTCGCGCATTGTATGACATCCATTTGTTTATCGGCTGTTTATATATGGTAATTTAATTACACGAGAGGATTAAATCATGATTGTTAAGATATGACAGTTTAGTAATTTTGTCAAAAGGTATTTATTTTTTAGTTTTGTTCATAAATAGGTCAAAATTAATGTAAATACATGCTGTCTTAATTGTTATTTCGTTCCGCCTGATTTTCTGGCGGAACGTGCTATGGGTTTTTGAGCAATTTCAATATGACGATGCTTTGCCCAGAAGCAAAAATATCGCAAAGCAACGTCATATTTATAGAACTATTGAAGTTACTGCCATTGTCAGTATCGATTGAAGTTACTGCCATTGTCAGTATCGATTGAAGTTACTGCCATTGTCAGTATCGATTGAAGTTACTGCCATTGTCAGTATCGAGGTATCTATAAAAATAGTTATTTTATTTTCAAGACCTGTTGATTAAGATAAAAATGTTCAATTCATAAGTGAAGTTAAGCACAATAAAATTATTGCAACCATTTACCAATTTAAACAGACAGTTTCTTGTCAATGAAAATCAAAAATCATTCGCGAAAATTAGAGACAAACGGAAAAGGTCATATAAAAATGCTTTTATTTTTTATAAATGAAGATGTCATGCCTTGTAAATTTGCTTGTATACTGAAAAGTGTATATTTTTGTAAATGTCAATCAAATTTAACATTAACAAACTCACCATAACCGAAAATGCGTATTAAATTTTGATAAATTTCTCAAAATTCCATTTGCAGCCATACTTGTTGTTGTTGTTGTGTTCCTTTATTTCGTACTCAATAAATCCCGGGACAGACGAGTTTCAGCCTAAACAAATCGGCTAGATATCCTAGATTAGACCACGGGATCTTAACCAGGAGTATATATAATAAGCTCAATCCGCTTTTGTAGTATTTTAGTACATAAAGTAATTTGATTGCACTGTATACAGCTAATACAAAACTCCCGATTCCACTCTAGTCAGTCATGATATCATTTTTGTATGTGAACAACACATGCTGATTTCCTGTTCTAGCAAATTTCCCGACCATTTCCAGTACAGTCTTTTTTTTGCCAATAAGGCATATAAATATGTAATTCCGTGAAATTAGAGAGACTTGTTCTAGGCAAATACATATTAAATTAGTACAGTGGTCTATATATTTTGAAGATTTACCTAGTTTTAAAGTCATTTCAGAGAATTTTGCTACAACTCCTAGGGAATTCCAGTTCGAATGCTCATGCGTAATAATTGAGATCCAATTGTAGGAAAATACTTTGGAACAATATATACTTGCAGACGATACGGAATTGTGTAAACAAATTTTATTTCTTTTATAAAACCATATATGCATTGCTTAGGCCTACTTGTCCCGTATTATATTCAATTAAGAGTAAAGTATATGAGCAACATCGATACAAGGTGTGTTCTGTCAAAGTAGACATTTTTTCTTATTTGAAAAAAGGGCAATTTCACATTAACTGTTAGGAAATCATTACCCCTCAACTTTAAGAGTGCCAATATTATTGCTGCAAAAGGATTTGGATTTCTGAGCTAAAAACATGGGAAAATTTATCATATTTGCAGAAAATCATGTAATGTTAATATCTGAGGAAAGGACAAGAAATTTTAAATTGAAACAATTTACTGAATAGGAACTGCATATAAAATATATACATGTATGTAAAATTTATCTTTTTAAAGTCAAGTTATATGTACTGTATATGCCATAGAAATATTTCATGTTGCGTTTCTTCAAAGAAAAGCTCAAGACTGTCCTATACCGCGAGACATTTTACGTTCGCACCCACATTTAAATTTTCTAATAGAAAAAAATCTTTAAAAAACCCGGATAAAAGTAATTTTTTATATCTTTCATTCTTACTAATTCGCACATTGTAGCTGAATGTGTGTATATCCTGCAGTGTTTATATATGTTCTGGAATTTAAAGATGTATTAACTAATATTTCAAAACCATTTCAACTTCTCCTTTCTTTGTTTTTCCATCTTTCATTCCTACAACACATAACTTAAAGAACATTTTTTGTCTATTGCGATTTTAATTAATTTTTCATTATTTGTCATTAAAATCACGATTTTTTTCTAATATAAATTCTGCCCATACCGCAATTTTACTCAGACACTCCGACAGGTAAGTTAAAATTCTTCGATCTGTACTATTTTAACGTTCTTCTCATAATCTTAAATTACTATGATTAAACATTTCTTTTAACTCAGATTATTCAAGAATAAAGACGTATCAGTATAAACAAATATAAATAAAAATAGCAAACATACAAATAAAATGGCAAAACAAACGTTTCGCATTCTATTATGTTGCTAATTAAAATTCTTTAGATATTTATAGGATGTATTTGTAATTCAACCTACCGCCGGGGTTATACGTTATCTTATTATTTTTGTTACACTAAATGAAACACATAACTTTATCATTTCAATTAAATTCTTTATTTTCAAAAGCGATTTTTATTGCTTATTTACAACATTTTAAAACTTTATTTACAACATTTTGAAATAGTCCTGCTGTCCAAGAGATAGCAACCGTGGTGTAAAAATCTTGAGAAATACGCATATTTATTTCCAACTTTGATGAAAAAATAGATCTACATGATTAAAAAATAAAAAACAAATACAAAAGTAGATACCTAGTTGAATCCAAACATGATTTTTTCTTGGGCTCAATATTATAAGACAAGTTTTTATATACTTGTAATTCATCTTTGTTACTGTTTTTTTTTGTAATTCAATCTTCTTGAATGATAACTAAAAAACGGTGACAAATCTGCAATACAGCTAAATCAATGGTGGCAGTTTCAAGACTTCGTTAATTGCTGCAACCAAGTAGATAAAAATGCGGCATAAAAGTAAGATCGGTAACTTACGGCCAAATCCTAGCTATGATCGGGCGTATGGCCGTTGAATTAAAACGGCACCCTGAAGCTTATATACCGGCTTGTAATTTTTAGAGATGACGATTGTTGACAACTGGCTTCGAGCGATGAGCATTTGACGGCCTCTTTTACTAAAATTTAAAAAATAGTTAACTGCCAGTCAAACCGCACCTCTTGCACAACATTCTTACATGTAACGTTGCCAAAAGAATAATATATATTTGCTCACTTACTCAATTTATATGGAGTAAGATCCATAAATATTTTTTCAGAAAACATTTACATGTAAATGGTAAAATATAAAAAAAGAAAAGAAAAAGAAAATGAAAAAAGAAGCAAAAATGACCCTTTCCTCATCAGCAAGCAAAACTTTAACAGGAAACAGGAAATCCTCGATTACTTTCAATGCTAATATAGAAAGTTAAAATTAAATGAAACAGTCATCCTACTTAGAATATAATTATCGAATTCCATTTGTTTAAGATAAACAAAACATAATTGTATTTGTACTATATTTTATAAACATAACGGGGAGGAAAAGGGTGCTCTGTACCGATTAACTTAATGATCCAATATAGGTTGAATTTGGTAAATCCAGGTGGTTTTCAAATTGGTGATGTAATTTATGTAACAGCTAACGAAATGTAAACAACCGTGCAAATTTACAGTGTACGTTATGCACGTGCAGATGTGTGTTACCGTGTTACAATCTGTTTTGCATATAAAAATTAAAAAGAAAGTTATCATGCATGTTTCAGGTCTGTAAATCAAAGAATTGTAATTGTTTCTTTTTCATACAGGTCACTGTCAAATATGACAATACAAATGTATTTTAGAATCATATATATATCCCCGATGATTATTTCTGTTGTACTAGCTGACGCAAAGAGTGATTTATTTCAGTAGACAAATGTACACTTGATACCTTACTTACATTGCGAGTCCTTTTATAGCTTTAATTTCCTTTCTTGTTTTTTTATAATTTTCTACTAAATGCACTATCTGCTTACACTAACACTTTAGTACAAATTATCAAATTATTATATATATATATAAGTAATTAGAAAGAGCCCCATCGAAAACACGAGTTTATCTGGAATTGTACGAGGGGGGCGTTGTCACAATTAATATGAAAAACCCAGAAAAAATGAGGCTAAATCTATTGTATGCTTTGGGTGAGGTAGCTAATACGTACTGTATTCCAGTTAACATCAATGTGCATGTATCACCTGTATACATTTAATACTTCTAACATCTATTCAATCCAGATATTCTTAAAATTATGATACAAACGAAATTAAAAACCTTATGCGTTGACCTAAAGACTAAAGGAAACACTGGCGGCGACTACGCAATCCTCGCAGATATTTGAGCAGTGCTGCCACGACAAAACCCATACATATAATGGCTCCTTTGCGACTCTTCTCAGCATGGCATCCCCAGCCTTTGCGCAGTAGTGCATCCATGCTGTTCGAGATAGTCGCGAATAATCACCTATGTAAGCGAACAGCAGTCAACCCTGCGCGGTCTTCATGGCAGGCAGGCTTTAGAATCCATTGCTTGGTCGCAAACGCAACTCTTATGTTAGTTTCAGATTGTAGCCCTCTAGACAATTTTATTAAGGTTTTCTAATAAAAGGAATTTCATGCATTACAATGCACACTCAGTGCAATCTCCTCGCGAGAAACGGCAAGAAAATATTTCTAGAAACAATAATTATTTGCATAGTACTCAATAGAACATACATTACGTTAACCACTTATTGGAATACGATCATAATGTGTTTACCACAAATAATACTTCAGAATAGTAAATTTCTTTGGTCACAACATATCTAGTATTGTGTAGCAAAAGGACAAATTTATCTTAAACTAAGTTTAGAGTCTGTCGCTAAATTAGTGTATCTTATTTTTTGTCAATTGTATGTGGGAGACTCTGATTAATAGGATACAAGTCTCACCTGGCTATAATGGCATGAGTGATGCTTATCATCAAATTACAAATCAATACATTTCACAAGTACACACACACATTGCGAACCTTCAGTAAATGATAGGACCATGGACGATCTCAATAGATGTGTCTCAAAGGACACTGTCGAGAACACATTATAGGTAAAAATGAGAACGCTTCTCAAATGTCCATTAGTGCTCTTTGGTTAACTTTTCAAATGTCGTAAGTATAGTAACTAACTTATCTACGGATATGACATAAACATGGCCTCTAATGATTGAATATGTCTGTCGATTTCTATTAATTAATTACGTTAAGACTCATATATAAATATGGTCATCGGCAATGAGATGGCTCCATATCTGTTATACATAAATATTAAGAAGAACCCATTATCCTTTTGTCTAACGAGATGTACATTATTTAAAGATTTGTTCTTATATGCAGGCATTGCACATGTATTTCTCCTACGTGAAGGGGTCTAACTCAGCTTCAGGAGCAGTGTCAGTTCGTCGTTTCACATGTAACTGGGGACTCGTAAGTCATAAGTAATATCTCCTCGATTACTCCGCGTGTGTTTCATAATCCCTTGACTTCAACATTATTAGTTGGGTGATGCGTGATTAGAACACATTTTGTTCACTCATCAAAATTCTCTATAGATCACAAGAAAACTTTACTAATCAATTTGCTCTATGACGATGAGAGTTGGTTCACGGGTATGTAAAATCAGCATTTCGTGAGATGACGTGTTTCAATAAGCTTATAGCTTCCAATTACTATCACATATAACCATCAAAATGAAATTTGCGTTATTAATATCTAACACTCAGGTTTAGTGGAAAATCTATAGACAACGAGGACGTACATTTCGTAGTCGTCACAAAAATTGTTACTTAATTGATGGTTGGATTACTTCATCATATCTAATGTTCAATCTCAGGAATACTTTATTTGAAACTCAATA